CGAAAAGTGACATTTAACCCGCCATTATACAGACAATCCAAACAGCACTTTTACATATACAGTGAACACAAAAGAATTATGGTTACAGAGCAATAACTCCAGAATGACACAATTAAAGTTTAGTATTTTTATTAAAAAAATAAACCCATTAATTATACCCACCAGGCATTAGCAGAATGTACTCTTCCCCAGAGGCTGCATTAATATTTTAAGGAAATATAACAAAGTAAGACATAATACAACACGACCAGCGGCTACGCAGATTAGCCCTCAGCTGTTAGCCTCCTCCTGGGAAGGATTCCTGTGTTATGCCTTTATGCTGATGCAGCTCTAATGTCAGACAATTTTGCTGTTCATACCGTGCTAACATTTATGTTTGAAAATATTGCATGCATGGCACTTCTTTAACTGTTGATTATCAAATGTTTTTTTGGCTCATGGAGTTGACATAGTTTTAAGATGAAGAGGCTTCATATTTGCCTCTGGTTTGCTTCCTGTGGCAGATGGCTGCCCCTCCTTCAGCACAGAGGTTCTTCCTGTGAAAATTGAGTTTTTCTTCCCCGGTGTCACAAAGTGCTGCTCAAAGGGGTTCGTCTGATTGTTGTCTTCTCTATTGTTGCTGGCTCTGCACCTTACAATATAAAGTGCCATGAGGTGACTGTCGTTGTAATTTGGCACTAAATAAAATAAAAATGAATTGGATATTCTGTGCTAAGGGTCCATTTCAGATGTTACTCAGAGCAGTTTTTTTCCTCCTGTGAATGCAGTTTTACATTTGTTACAAAAAAAAAAAGAAGAGTCAATAAAGTAAGTTTTCTATTTAGACCTGTGGTCCCCAACCTTTTTTGCTCCACGGACCATTTTTCCATGTCACGGACCGGCCTTTAAGGTGTGCCGGATAAATACAACAAAATAAAATGATACGAGCAAGACAACTGTGGTATTTTGTAAATATAATAATAAACACAAATTCATTATTAGCAGCGACCTTCTGAAGTGCGCCGACAACATTGAGAGTAACGTCCTCCTCTCTGCCCTTAATGCTCTCTGGTCACTATGGTAACGCGTAAATATTTCTTTCAAAATAAGACAAAACTACAAAACAAATATAAATAAACCCCTGAAAAACATAAATTTCACACCCGAGGCTCAACTCTCGCGGCCTGGTACCGGTCCGTGACCCGGGGGTTGGGGACCTCTGATTTAGAGAATGCATAGATGTTTCTTGTTTTACGTCAAAAAAGAATCATGACATTTTTGGATTTTAGAAGATTAAAACAAAACTGTTGATGGAGTCACACTAGATTGAAGTATACGGAGATATTTTCTTTATTTGTTCATTGTTTAGATGTAGAAAACAGTCTGGAAAGAGATTTCTTGTTCATTGGTAGCTCTCAGTTACTGTGACAAGACTGATATTAGCTACAACTTTGCACCAGTCTCCTCGCTGTGTGCAGGTGCTCATACGAGCCTGAGGCTTGTCTTCTGTGCCCATTTGATATAACCAGGTATAGAAATAGTGTGGCAGTCCTTAGTGAAGAGCCAGCTGCTGTAACCACTTTATCTGCTGTCCAAGGCTTTCCAACACAATGAGCTATTGTTCTCTAACCATGTATTCTACTTTTGTCCCGCCTCCTACTAGTCTGCATTTTGTGTCTGCACTTGTTGCATCACAGTCCTTCTTTCATCTCCCGTCTTTGCTTCTTTGTGCTGAATATTTTATTTGTGCTTGTTTGCAAACCAATCCTTCCATTTTACTTGTTTCTTGCATATCCACTTAAGTCCAATCCATTCTCTTAATTTGTCCAGCCTGACCTTTATTACATCTCCTCTTGCCTCCAGCTTTTGGTTCCATTTCTCTGGACTGTTTCTCCATCCGTGCGGATTTTTTCTTTCCCCTGGCAGTTACTCAACAATGAGTGTGAGCGTGATCATATCAGAGTTAAAAAGTGTGGTGAAGTCAAACAAAGGGGAGAGCTTAATGCAGACGGTGGATTATAGCTGGAAACAGGACTTTGCATTAAAGGCTTTTTTAAGGACGTGGCCTTACTTTCCTGGACGGCCTGTGTCATGCAGTGACAGTGGAAACATGTAGTCTCGCAACGTGCACATGCCGGATTAGTAACGACAGCTACCAACATCAATGTTCTCAACTGTCCATACTGCCCCAGAGCATCACTAGCGCAGTCAAAGAGACGCAGTTTATGGCCACTCCCCACTCTGATCTGTCCACCTAAATACCCACTGACCTGTTTTCTGTAAGCTCTTCTGTCCGGCCTCTGCTGACCAATGTAATGAAAAAGACATTCTGTGGCACAGTAAAGTGAATAAAGACAAACAAGCTCTCATTTAAAACTCTGACCTTGTTGCTTATCCGTGTCTCTGTGTACTGGGAGGTGTACGGATATGGGAATTGGAAATCAATGTACCGAATAGGACGAGGCAACGATTTCAACTCTTCCTCTTTTTTTGCCTTGTTCCCTTTCTTTTGTTCAGAGGCAATCACTGCTCTGTTTGTCCTGTCCTTATCTCTGTTGTGTAGGCCTCCTGTTTTTTTTCCCTGCAAAGAAAAAAATCATTTGTAAAAATCAGAGCAATATTTCAAAAGAAACACTCAAGTAAAAGTACAGTTTCTTTTTGAGACAAGAGCATGCAAAGGATTTCTTGACTGCTACAATTATTTGAAAAGGTGCTTCATATGATAGTTGATGACTTTTATATTTCAGTATTAATAATAATAATAATAATAATAATAATAATAATAATAAACGTTTTTAAAGGGTAAAGATGACATAGTGAAATATTACATAAAGCTGACTGTAGCTACACTGTGATATTTTCCATTCTTCAGCTACACACTGTTAGGATCAGGGTTTCTAAATCAGTTGCTACTGAGTAAAGTCTAGGATCTGCTATTTCTTTGTGGTGTTGATGTCATGATCCGGCTGTGTGCAGGGAGGAAACGGACCCAAACGCAAACTCACTAGAAACAGGATTGAACTTTTGATGTGAACTGACACATCGACAGGATCAGGAGTGAGTCTATTGTTTTTAATGTCCATAGAAGCGGGAGAAAAATAATCATTGTAACTCACCACCGGGAGTTGCTTAACATCGTCCATTTTATGGCGGTGTCTGCGCCGCTTCCTACAGCAAGGGGAAGCGGGCGAAAACAGCTGGGCCTCCGGCGTGCAGACTTGACTAGGGGAGACAGAGCAACTAAGAAACACAGAACAACAACAAAGAGACACAGACAGCTACTAAATACTCAGAAAACTAAACAGAATACAAGAAAGCCAAAGCGCTAGACTATAGAATAAACTGGGGCAACAAAGAGAACTAAGATCATAATACAAAAACTCAGAGACACAAGAAACTCAAAGCACTGGGTCACCGACCCAGGACCGTGACAGTTGAGTTCAATTCAGTTTTACTTTCATATGTAAGTCGCTTAAATATGCGTCTGTGAGTCGTTTGGTACCGGGCCGCGAGAGATGAGACTCAGATGTGAAATTTATGGTTTTCAGGGTTTTTATCGTTAACTCGGTTCCCCTGGGTCTTTTCCCGTGTTGTAGTTTTGTGTCTTACTTTGAAAGAAACATTTACGTGTTACCATAGCGACCAGAGAGCATCAAGGGGCAGAGAGGAGGATGTTACTCTCAATGTTGTTGGTGCATCTCAGGAGGGCGCGGCTAATAAAGTTACACAACCACACAGTGAATTTGCGTTTATTGTTATATTTACAATATACCACAGTTTTTGTCTTGGTCGTATCATTTATTTTGTTGTATTTATCAGTGACACCTTAAAGGCCTGTCCGTGAAAATATTCTCTGACATTAAACCGGTCTGTGGAACAGAAAAGGTTGGGGACCGCTGGCTTAAATCACCTTTCTTCCCCATTCTGATGCTGGGTTTGAAATTTAGCGGTCGTGTTGACTAAAGTCAACACTGAAGTCAACACAACCTGTTTGAACACATCTGTTCACACTGCCTTATTCGCTTTAGTGCTGATTTTACCTGTTGTCAAGTTCTGCTTTGCAATTTTAACTCATTTTATGTATTTTATGACTATTGCTTCTTTTATGAAATTTCCCCTTGTGGGACTAATAAAGGTATCTTATCTTATTAATGTTGTTCTTTTGTAAGGTGACCTTGGATTTTTGAAAGGCGCTCTCAAATAAATTGTATTATTATTATTATTATTAAAGTCAGAGAATTGCTGCCATGCGATGTTGATGAGCAGGCAACAAGCAGTAGAATAGGCTTACCCAATGAAGCGAGTGTATTTCCAATATTTAAGGAGGAGAACAGTTACTATTAGCAGACTTCTGTTACAGTATATTATATGTGTACAAATGAAGCACTACTTGCCGGTTGAGCACCAAAGTAAAGGAGTGTACAGCAGAGAGGTGGCCAACTCTGCACTCCATGCCAGTTGCAATTACTGCTATCATTTTAGCTCCAGTGGTTAGAGCTCATTAGAAATCACCAACAAGCCATTGTCGGGACCTTCGTTAAAAATTCCTTGCAATAGCTCTAATGAAAGTAAACAATGACATTTGCACATGAACTTGCCAATCAGTCTGACACAAAGACAGAGGCAGGAATTCAAAATCCCAGCAGGGCTCAAAACAGGTGTGTGTGTGTGTGTGTGTGTGTGTGTGTGTGTGTGTGTGTGTGTGTGTGTGTGTTGTAACAAAAGGGAAAAAAAACAGTGTTTCTATGTTAGTTCTGCTGCCCTCGGCCTCTCCACTGCTCAAAATGCTCAAAACGTTGAATATTTTCCTACCAGTGAATATTTTTCATGTCCCAGGTCTTAAGCCATGCCTCAGATTTGTTGAAAGGAAAACAGATTTTCCACCTTTCCCTGGAATATCAGGAGTACCAGGAGGGACTTTTCTCCCAATCCTAATTTTCCAGGTTTTATGACTGTGTACGTCCTGCATGTTGATGCTTCTCATTTTGACCTTCAGCCCGTCTGTCTTTGTCTTTCTTCAGGACCCCTCAGTGCAAAAGGTGGGCGGAGGCAGGAAGAAGACGGTGTCCTTCAGTAGTATGCCCTCTGAAAAGAAGGTAAACTGGAAATAAATGATCAAAATCAGTTTCACATAGATTAAGCAGAATCTTAAAGGGAATTCTGATTATCTCCAGGGAAGTTACATTACAGTTACATTAGGGAAAACAATGTCTGGAGACTGCAGTCAACTTGTGATCTCCTTGCCTGACCACTCAGTCCAGTCACTGTCTTCACATTTACTTTGGTGTGCCAAGACCACGATAAAACAGGGATTATACAGCAATCAGACAGTCAGATGGCTATTAGTTTTCCCTTGAACTGGCTCAAGTAGGCACTTATATGCCACCTGTTTGCAATAATGGTGATAAATATCAAATCTATTGCCGTCTACATGAGACACATGGTGCTGTACCAGAACCAAGGGCGTGTTGCCACTAGTGACTCTCAGCCACACACTGGGCCATAAATTTGCTGGTGTTGCAACTGATGTTGTAGCTGTTATGATGAGCCGATAGAAGGAAGCAGCGACACTCCTCTGTGAAAACATCAAAACTAACCTGGCTGTCGTCAACTGCATCACCCACAGTTAGAAGATGTTACTGTAGATGAATGAAAATGAAAAAAGATGTGTCCCTCCCTGTAAAGAGACTTACAGATGTGGGTACCATTTGAAAAAAAAAAAAAAAGGGGGGGGGGATGCTGCTGCTCTGTAGGGAAGCAGAAAAATGTGTTAGGCTACTGTACTGTATTAGTATTACATTTAGAAATGATTTCATGTTAAATCATGAAGGTTATGCCAAGAAAGAGCATTACATATCCAACTTTTGATCAAGAAGGAAAGAAGTTCAGAAGGTGTTGCACTGTCTTTTTGCAGAAAGCATATGATACGGTACCAACTGTAGTGCTGCTGAATAAATCCAGGAGGCAGGGATGTATGTGAGGGTCGAGGCTCCCTCGATGGAGCTGGGAGGCAGGATGAAAAAGGAAGACAACAGACGAAGTTCATAGATGAGACACACGGCCCAGTAGAGGACATCATGAAGTCTTTTTTTGATTGTCTGGTCACAGACTTTCACACCAGTGTCCTGCTGGAGGTCATTTCAGTAAGGAGAGATCATTACAAAGAATGAACATGATTTATTAAGAGACAGAGTATAGATAGGTGTTTGGCCCATCTCAGGGGAACAGAATCCCAGCTGTGAAAGGGATTAGAGCAGGGAGAGCAAGGCCGGGAGAAGGTGATTGGACACAAACAACTTTACAGCGTGGGAAAGTGGGAGTGATAAGGCTTAGATTTAGCTGGCAGCACCTGGGAGCGGACAGATGTGAGACCTTATTGAACTTAGCTCAGGCGGTGCTCTTCCTGTTCCTCCTTGCACAAAGCAGCTGATACTGGTGCTGCTGATACGTCCATAACCCTTGAGCAGGACCAGTCTCCTATCTGTCCAGCTCTCCTAGAGTAACTGGCTGCCTCCTACTATAGCCTCCATGCTCTTTTGACTGTGCTAGGAGACACAGCAAACCTGCCAAAGGAGAAAGGAGCTGCAACCTCTGTAGGGTCGAGGTATGGCCTCATTCTACCAATAGCGAAACTAACCCAGCTAAATGCAAAACCAGTGAAGAAACATAAAAGTCGAGGGGGAATAAATGTCAGCTGTCTCCACCTGGAAAACCATTCCTGTTTAACAATTTCTTCCTTTTCCTTACCAGATTAATATCCGACACAGAGACATTAATAGGACATATTCCAATAAATTGAAAGTATATTTTGTCTGGAATAAAGAAAATTCACGTGTGGACAGTAACGTGTTTTTCGTGATTTTAATTTCCAGGTCAGCAGTGCAGCCGACTGTTTGGCGTTCATGCAGGGAGGGTGTGAACTGAAGAAGATCCGGCCCAATTCTAGGGTTTACTGTCGTTTTTACACACTGGATCCAGACTTGAGCTGCTTACGCTGGGAGCCATCCAAGAAAGATGGAGACCGGGCTCGGCTTGACGTTTCCAGCATTCGTGAGGTCCGCACTGGGAAGAGCACCGAGACCTTCCTCCACAATGGCCCTCTCTCCGAACATCTGGCTGAAGAAGCAGCCTTCTCTATCATACATGGAGATGACTACCAGGTAAGAATGGAAAAAGAAATGTGTGTCAGCAGAAGAATAGTGTCAAAACATCTGTGTATAAACATATAAACGAAGAAAATCACTAGTGTACACCCAGCCATTAAACCAGTTATCCATGTTTCCCTACAGTCTCTAGACTTGGTGGCATTGTCAGCTGATGTGGCCAACATCTGGGTAACAGGCCTTCGTTACCTGCTGGCTCATCCTTCCATCGTAGGAGGGGCTGGGGGAGGTGTAGCAGGAGGAGGACCAGGTGAAGGAGGGGGGGTGGCCGTTGAAGGAAGCCTGGGAAGCAAGATGAGGAGCGAGTGGCTGACAGCAGAGTTTGCCCAGGTCGATGAAGATGGCTACGGGATCGTGTCAGAGGACGTAGCAGTCGCCACCATCTGTAAACTGTGCCCTGGTATCAAGGAGGCCAAGGTGACAAATATGTAATACCACAGAAACTTGACTTGCAGTATTAGATATGAAGCACCACCAGTGCATAAATGTATGCTTATCTGAAGCTGTATTTTCTTTGACTTAAGAGTAACAGTAAGCTCCAGCTAGACAGACAGAGTCAGAGACTGCCTTCAGACATTATCAGAGCAGCACAAGCCAGATTTCCTTTGGAAGTTGGTGGAGACCAAAAACCTAGCAAATAGAGAATTATTTTGACTGCTAATATTGCTCCATAACTGTTGGCTATACTATTAGGAAAGTGAGGGTCAAAACTGTAGAAAAACCACAGCTGCTGTTCACTAAAACTCAAACTCTAGTGTGTTTGTGTTGCACATTAAATCTGCAGAATTAAACAGAAAATATGGAGCCTGATGATCTTTAAATCTTTGAACAGAGAAAGTTGAGAAGGAGGTTGTCACACAAAGCTTACTGACTCAGAAATAACTGGAACATTTGAGTTCTGTCATAATGATTTGCTCTAGGTTTTATACCCATAATGCTAACCTCCAGAGCTGCTGAGATATTGTGCATTAACAGAACTTACACATTGTAAAAAACAGCATCATCATTTAAGCTCTTTGCAATCAGGACTGCATTTCAGAACGACATGTTCAGCTACAATCACAGCTAAGTGATGTGTTTCCAAATAACATTGATTGGAGCAATAGGACATTTAATCCCTCTTGATGAGGGATTTGTGGCTGTTCTGCTTTTCTCTTTTGGATTGCTGTTGCCTCACGCAGGACCGCTCCTTCTCCCTTTTCCTGCCTCGTGCCTTATTTTGCTTACACACAGACTAAGCTAGGAAACTTAGAGAATATAAATGTCTGCACTGGCACACATGGGCGAGAACACAGAAGATACAGAAAGGAGAATTCAGAGTAGACAGAAACGATGGCTACATTGTGTCATATAATTGAATGTGGCTCGCTTTAATATCCTTAATGAAAAAAGACAAGTAAAATGTAATCCTCTTTGCCAACTTCACTGAATGAATGAGACATAATAACTGAAGTTCTTGCTTAATTAACTGTCTGCACTTTCCTATTTTCATCCACTTCCGCTTTGTTTTTCCTCAGGTGCGTCTCCGTTTCAAGGAGATCCAGCGCAGCAAGGAAAAGCTGACCTCCCACGTGACACGTGAGGAATTTGAGGAAGCCTTCTGCGAGCTTTGCACACGGCCAGATGTCTACTTCCTAATGGTGCAACTGTCCAAAGACCGCGAGTGTCTGGACCCTCAGGACCTCCGGCTCTTCTTGGAGACAGAGCAGGGTTTGTCTCTGGCTACCACTGAGGGCTGCTGGGAACTATTGAGGCGTTATGAGCCCTCTGCTCAAGGCAAGGAGAGAGGGCTGCTGGGTCTGGATGGATTTGCCCGCTACCTGCAGTCTCCAGAATGCCAGCTGCTTGACCCAGAGCAACTAGGGGTTTGCCAGGATATGAACATGCCTCTGTCCCACTACTACATCAGGTGAGTCAAACAGATCAACATGACATCTTTTAAAAAAACAAACAAAATTAAAAGGGTTCTTTTTCTGAACCAGTTAAAGAAAAAACTAGGAGTGAACAAACAAACAAACAAACAAACAAACAAACAAACAAACAAACAAACAAACAAACAAACAAAA